AATGTCAGATGTAGAACAATTGGATTGGACGCCCAAAAGGGTGTTGGATGCAGGATTGAACATCTGAAAGTTCCAATTACTAGTTTTCTAACAGGTAATTTTTTGATTGTTAGAGAGGAATTTTGGGAAAAATTTCACTATTTATAAATATCCCCAAATTTCGAAAATAAGAGGAACTTTTGCCTACATGAGATACAAGCTTTCAAGAGTGATTTTTGTTCAAAAAAATATTTTGACTAGTGTATAGGTATGGAAAAAGTTCTTGAATTTGTGAGCCTCACTTGTAATTGTTATTCATTGTTAGGGTGAGTATTCAATTGTAACTTAGAAAGAGTTTACTAGGAAGAGTTGTAAAATCTTTGGCTCAACTAGAGTTGAGATATTTAGTGTGGGCAAAAGGTGAGTCCTTCTTTGTACAAGTTTGTTTGCTTCACCAACAATTGGAAGAAGTTTTTGGTTGATTGAGCACCAATCTTGGCGAAGTTTAGGAGCAAGGGGAGGTGCCATTGAGAGTGTCGATTCATTTGGTTTGTTTTCTATTTACTTTATTGATCTTTATTTACTTTGTGGATCAATTGTTACATCTTTTGTGTATTTTATTTGGTTGAAATTATTGGGTGAAATTGTTATTATATGGGAAATTTGTGATCAATCTAATTCATTCCCTCTCTCAGATTGTCTTTGGGCCTTACACCCGCTTAATGACGGCAAATGATATACTGATGACCATTCCATCAATTTTTCTCATTAGATCTTTGTTTCGTTCCTTAATTTTAGTGTTATTTATTGGTGCAAGATAAATTTTTTTACATTATTGATACATAAATTTTTCAAGTAATTTCCTTTTTCCATTGATTTTTATCTCAACCTAATGTCGGAAAATGTGATTCATCAAATGACAATCTGCAAATCTCGCAGTAAATAAATCACCTGTCAATGGTTCCATATACTTAATAATTGAAGGTGACTCATAGCCGACATATATCCCCAATCTTCTTTTGGGGCCCAATTTACGATGTTGGGGCGATGCAATTGGAACATAAACCGCACAACCAAATATTCGTAAATGTGAAATATTGGGCTCATAACCAAAAGTTAATTGTAGGGGAGAATAAGTATGATAACTTGTCGGCCTAATTCTCACAAGTGTTGCTGCATGTAATATAGCATGTCTCCAAGCAGATGAAGGAAGTTTAGGCCTCATCAATAATGGTCTAGCAATTAATTGTAGCCGTTTAATAATGATTCGGCTAGACCATTTTGTGTGTGAACATAAGTTACAAGATGTTCAATAGTAATTCCAATGGACATACAATAATCGTAAAAAACATGTGACGCATATTCACCTGCATTATCTAGACGAATTTTCTTTATTAGATAATCTGGAAATTGTGCTCGCAATTTAATTATTTGAGCAAGCAATCTCGTAAATGCCAGGTTGCGAGTAGATAATAAACGTAAATGTGACCATCTAGTTGATGCATCAATTAGCACCATAAAATATTGAAATAGTCCACATGGTAGATCTACAGGTCCACATATATCACCATGAGTTCGTTCTAAAAATATAGGGGATTCAGTCCCAACTTTAACTGTTGATGGTCTAATAATTAATTTTCCTTGAGGGCAAGCAACACAAGAGAATTCATTGGCTTTTAATACCTTTTGATTTTTCAATGAGTGACCATGTGAATTCTCGATTATTCGTCTCATCATTATAGATCCAGGATGTCCGAAACGATCATGCTAAATCATAAAATCATTGAGATAAATAGACTTCTGGTCTACTAGATGATGAATTTCAACTGCACTAATTTGTGCATAATATAAGCCAAAAGAAAAGGAAGGTAATTTTTCTATTACGCATTTTTGCCCAAAAATGATACTTGTGATTAATAAAAATTCTCCATTTGTCTCAGTCATTGTTTCGATATGATATCCATTTTCGCGGATATCTTTAAAACTCAATAAATTTCTCCAAAACTTGGGAGAGAGTAGTGCATTATTTACGATAATTTTAGTCCTTTAAGGAGAAATAAAGTGGCTCTTCTGGAGCTTTCAATGAATTTTGCACTACCACTGATGGTAGTAACATTTGTTTCTCTCATTTTTAAATAAGAAAAATACTTTTTATTTTTCAATATGGTGTGCGTAGTAGCACTATCAATGAGATAAATGTCATCATCACCATTATTTAATCCCAAATATTTAGCATCCATTTCTTCTTCAGGAAGAAAATTTCAAATAAAAAATAAGTAATAATAAAGATACGAAAATAAATATTGAATAGAAAGAAAATTACATTAAACATATAAAGCATCATAAAATATCTAAACAATCATAGGGTATTTGTTGACATCTTCAGGATGTTCAAAGAAATCAGTTACATCGAGATATGTCATATTAGCATCATCACCATCATCATAATCATTCTTTTGATCAATGAAATTTGTTTCGACACCTTTGTCTTTCTTTTTCAATGATTCTTGATAGAGATCAACAAGATACTCAGCCGTACGATAGGTACAGGACCAATAACCTTCCATACCATATCAGTAGCATTTTTCTCACATACCTTCTTTTCTCCATTTTTCTGATTGTAGTTATTACCCCTCTTTTGAGGAATATTTTGTTGTTTGCCACGATTATAATTTTCATGGAGTACAAAACTATTACGATCACATCCACGGCCACGGCCTCTTCCACGGCCACCTTTACGGCCACGTCCACGACCTCGACCAGAATTTTGAAATTGAGTCGCATTCGCTTCAGGGGATGGACTTTCACCAGTTGGTCGAGACTCATGATTTTTCAGCAATAATTCATTATTTTGTTCAACCAAGAGAAGACATGCAATAAGTTTAGAATATTTTTTAAATCCCTTCTCTCGATATTGTTACTGCGGGAGCATGTTAGAGACATGAAAAGTAGAAAATGTTTTTTCTAACATATCTTCATCGGTGACTTTTTCACCACATAATGGTAATTGAGAAATAATTCGGAACATAGCTAAATTATATTCATTGACATATTTGAAATCTTGTAGGCATAAGTAAAGCCAATCATATCGGGCTTTTGGAAGAACGACCAACTTCAGGTGGTCGAATCTTTCTTTCAAATCTTGCTAAAGGACAAGAGGATTTTTAACAGTAAGATACTCTATTTTTAATCCTTCATCTAAATGATGACGAAGGAAAATCATAACTTTGGCACGGTCTTGGTTTGAAGATTCATTCTTTTCAATAATAGTATTACCAAGACCTATTGCCTCAAGATGAATTTCAACATCCAATACCCATGATAAATAATTTTTTCCAGAAATATCAAGAGGTACGAACTCTTGTTTTGTAAGATTAGCCATAAGAAATTAAAATAAGTTTTTGAGTTAGAAATTTACCTCCGAAGTTACTTGAAGAAATACGGGCAGAATTTCGACAAAATCTCGTGTTTGTTCAAGGTAGAGGCTCCGTTTTTACATTTTGCTTAAAAGTAGAGATTCATGCTGATAACGTGTTATAAAACTAATAAAATAACAAGATGTAGGATAAAATAAAATAGAGAGAAGTAGACAAAAGTAGTGAACTATTCTTTTATTAACTCAAAGCGATCAAAGCTTACAAAGAGATGTTCAATCACCTCTATTTATAGAGAACACTAAATAAAACTAAAAGATTAACCTCTAAATATAAGAGAGGTTATAAAATTAATTGTATAGGAAAACCAAACCATCATCTATACTAACTCTTTTATCCTTGGGGGAATTCAATTTTATCCTTGGGAGAATTCAATAGACATAGGAAACTTTAATGGACATTCATTCCTATTTAATTGTTTCATGACAAAAGTTAAGTTGGACTAATTAATTTTTGTTGTAAGCATTTTCCCTCTTTCACGATCTATATTTTGTTTGACTTTTAAGGTTTTCTTTTCTTGTCAATTATAAGACTTGGATCAGCGATTAAAAGTGTGGAGTAAAAATTTTCCCCTCTTTAAACTGATCATTGAAAATTTGGACGATCAAGTTGGCCCAATAATAAATGTTAAAGGATGATCTTGCCCTATTAAAGTGAAGGAACCAGATCGGCTGCATAATAAAGTTAAGGAATGGTTTTGTCTCAAATCAAGATTGGAGGATCAAATGGAGTTCTCTAGTAAAGTTTGAGAACTCTTTTTGGGTCATTAGCCTAATGTAAAACTTAGTAAACAATTTAGCAAAACCTACACTCAGTAAGAGAAAACCTGTACAAAATTGGATCGGATCCTTCATTTTGAAAACATTTTTTTTTTCTTCTGGAGGTTCACACTCCACATCTGACCCCAGGTTTCGCTCAGGCCCCAGTGCAGTGTCGTGGAGCCCTTTAGCATGTTGTATTATGAAAACGTCAAGAAACATGAAGACAAATGAGAGGAGCTGAACTATAGTGGTTTGACCTGATCGAGTTTAGCACAAGTGGCATCTTACACCACAAAAGTGGACTTTAACCACAGCGAGAATTGTTGATTTGTCCTTATCATTGACCATAATTTCCTTCTTCACTATTAGAAAGGTGTATAAACAACCAAATAGGAATCTTGTTTAACCACCTCTCTGCATAAATATGTGAAGTTTAGAAATCAAGAATATTTACTAATTTGTAAAGTTAGACCACAAAAAAGCAATTTTTTCATTTGTGGACTGGGGTAGGTGGGTATTGACTCAAGTAATTAACTATGTTCATAAATAGAAGACGACTAATTATATAATTTTGTCACACCAGAAAAATGAAAAAGATTAAAAAAAAAGATTCCATAAAATTTAAGTAATTACCTACGAGTATTAATTACTTCAAAATTATGTAACTCATTGAAAAATGGGTATTGGATTACTTGGATCTGAATCCAATTTTACAATTTAATGTCTATAACAAATTAAAAATTAAAAAAAAAATTACAACAAGTCAATATTACCTTTTCAAAACTTTTGGAATACCTTTCAATTGAAATTTGGATCCCCAATATGATTACACAGTTTGTGCTGGCAGTGGCAGGTGATTGTTCCTAGGTACATGAATCTGTTCAATCTGTAAACTTTTCAGTGCCGGGCCACCAGATCTTCTCTTCCACAGATTTACTTCACATGGCTGCTGCACCTTCTTGATCACCGGCAATGGGGGATCCAGTTCACTAATGCTCACATGATCAATACCACCATCATCATTGTTAATCTTCGAAGACCTTCTTGAACCACTTCTCCTCAGGATGATCTCTCTGCAGCTCCTAGCATTCCCAGCACCGTACCTGGTGTTACTACTGCTGCTGGTGGCCGGGAAGCTAGTTATGAGGTTTTTGCCGGAAAACAATCTTCTGAGCTTTTTGTGCTTAAAATGCCCTTGGTGATTTGTGTTGGTTTTCGCGGTGGTGGTGGCTGTTGTAGCTGTTGCGGCCGTGAGCCTATAGGGTGTTGAAAAGCCGATTAACCGGTTGGTTTTCTTGACTTTACCCATACAACTAACTTTAGGGGATGAAGGGTCGTCGGAGAAGGAGCATGAACGATCTTTGTACTCTCTTAACTTGACATCCTTGATGGAAACTCGGCATAGAAGTGGCAAGAATGAGTTCTTGTTATAGAAACTTTGCTGATGAAGGTGATGGTTGTAGTTGTATCCATTTCCCATTTCTCCTCCAGTCTTGATTATATTATCTCACAGTTTCTGTGAACTTTTGTAGCCAATACGCTGTGTTTGTAATGGTGTGTGAATGTGTGTGGTGTGTGTGTTTGTGTAAGAATACACAGGGGAAGAGAGAGTTGGGAAAGAAATAGAGATGGGACACTGGAGGTAAATAGTACTTGCAAGGAAGGAAGGATGGATGGATGGATGAAAATTGAGAACTTTATTATTATTATTATTGTGTCCCTTCCTTGCTTCTTCATTTGCACTAGTATTATAGTATCCATCTTTCTTTCTTTATTCTTAATTTTATCTTTTGTTGCTTTATTTTTTATTTATTTTGGCGTTTATGATTTGAATAATGGGGAGTGCGAGGCAGAGTGATGTAATGTCCAACATATAGGTAACATGCATTGGGGGAAAAAATGGTTAAAAAAGAACCTCAAGCTAGCTAGAAGTGTATCTTGGTAATTTACACGCAAAGCCGGGTCTCAAAGAGCTTTATATTTTTTAACCCTCCCACCCTACCCCTTTCCACTCTCAAGTGTCAAGTACAAAATTCAAAATCTAAACCTGGCTACACAGAAAATTCTAAGAGCTCTCTCCTATTATGATTTACGAGTCAATCTTAGTGATTTAGCTAGCTTTACTTAAAATGCGGGAATGCTATAATACTTTTGCATCTAAAAGATATATGCTGCTACTATAATTTTAGGACTAATTTTATAAATCTTTCCTGAGATTTCATGAAATATCATTTATGTGACGCCCCGAAAAAAAAATGAGTTTGAGAACCCGGAAATTTTCTAATTTTCTAGGGTTTATTTTATTTAATCGCCCGTTTTTTCTACATTTTCTTTATTAGAAAAAATTCCCCAGATAATGTTTATGAGCAAAGATAGTTTTAAAATGATTTTTCTAGTATCGGTTAGTGTTTGAGAAAATAAAAGCATATTTTGAATGTGGGACCCACTAGGGCGAAAAGTTCGGAAAAATTCGACCAATTAGGTTAAGTTCCGGATACTGGGTGAAATTTATCGGGTGTTAAGAGATAAGTAGAGGAGGTGAAGTGATTGATGTGAGAGGGAAAAAGAAGGATAGAAATGCATTTAATGAAGTGACACGTGTCACCTTGTTATTGAAGGTTGGACTTTGACATTTGACCATCTTACTACCTTTACCAAATAAGTACCAAATTGATCCAAAATTACCTTCATTCTTCATCATCTTGGCTGAGCTTCACAAGGAGAAAAGAAAGGAAAGCTTTCATCTTACTTCTTCATTTCTTGCTCCAATCAAACAATTTAACCGATTAAACTTGGATTTGCTCCATAAAAACCTTTCTCTTGGTAGTATTAAGGTGTGTAGTGAAGTGGTTTGAGAAGCAAAGGTGCTAAGTTGGGTCTTTTCTTGGGTTTGTAAGGTAAGTGACTAAGGAACCTTTCCTTTGATCTTGATAATGTTCAATTAGTGATTGGTGGTGGTTGAATAAGTGATTTTATGGTTGATTTCCTGATTTTGGTTGAAAATGATGAAGATTTATTATTTTTGGGGATTTTTCTGTTTTCATATGGATATGATTATGGGGTCATGTATGATGATTGAAAATGATGTTTAATGACTCTAGGAGGTGGAAAAAGTGATTAATTGCAACCAATTTCTGTTTTGGACCAAAAATTGAAAAGTGAGGGTTTTGTGATGAACATTCTGTCCGAATTTTTAGGTCCTAGATAGAGGCCGAATTGGCCTTTGCTTAAAACATGAAAGTTGTAGGGAATGACATTTTAGAGGTGCCTACAAAATTTCAGGTCAATCGGAGTAGTGTGGAATGAGATAAGTCGAAATTACTATTGCTGTTCTGGGTTACCCAGAATTGGAAATCTGCGACTGTAATTGGTTGTTTTCGCTGGAATTGCTTCCGAATTGGTTGTTGAGGTCTTCTGATGAAATGTATCCCTGTTTCGTAGTTTTCAGCTTGTTTTGGAATTTCTGGATTTGGACTTGTGTAGGCTGAGTTATGATGTTTACGCTAGAATGCATTTTGCAAACCTGTTTTCGTGATCCTGGTATAGCATCTTGCATTTTTGACCTGGTTACACTGGAAACTGAGTTGAGTGACCTTCTACAATATTGTACCCCTATCTCTTAGCTTCGAAACGGTGTATCTTTCACCTTCATCCGACAATCGTAGCGCCTTTGGTACAATTACCGTAAAATGACGTCAAAACCTGTTTTTCTGGTTTTGAGCTTAACTTTCATTTCCGGACTTTTCCCTAGTTTGACTTGTACTAGTACTACTTGGAGTTTGCTGAATGGCTATTGGATGAACTTGTTGTTGTGTGTGTATCTTTGGGTTTGAATGAGAAGAATAATGAAGCCATGATGGCTGGGAAAGTTAGCAAATTCAGGGGAAGTGCTGTCCGAACTTTGAAGGGACTTGATTGCATTGAGTTTGTGATCTAAGACTTGGATTTGAGCAAGACAATGATATATGATGGTTGGTTCCTGAGCCGTGGAGGTGAGTGACCTCAAACTACATCTAAAGTTATTTATGAACCGTTTCTTACATTATTTACTTTTGAACTGTTTCCAAAGTTACTTTTGAAATGTTTTCTTGCATATCATGTGTGCTGGCATTTGAGTGTGCCTTGTTTGCTATATTTCTTGACTTCATGACTTGTATTTTGGTTGATAACGTGTTAAGCGCTTATAATGATTTCCAAAACGAGTTTTCGAGGCGAGTGTGTACTTTATCGTACTCGACCTCGATAAATGTGAAATTTTCGATTGCAATGTTACTTGCGCATGAATGTAAGCCTTTTGGGCTGAACTGGCCATTGCCCCTTGTTACCGGTCGTCTTGAGCCAGAACGGACTCGGTCAGGCGATTAGGAACTTGGTGAACGTTTGGTATACTCGAGTATTACCTATGTAGGTTGGTGGAGCCTGGCCAAAAAGCCAGGGACGGGGTGAATGAAATGAAATGAATGACCAAATGAGCGAGGAAATGTCAGGAGAATGAATGTATCCTTTCATGAATGTTACTATCGCTTTCCATTGTAAATGTTTCTTGAATTATTGATAATCCATATTTACTGTTTTGCAAATGATGTAGTTGTTTCCGGATTTATCATTTAATTTATGACATCATTGCTATATGACATCATTGAAATGAACTATTGTGAAACCGATTTGATTAATGATTTTCTGGTTACTCGCTGAGCTTTTAGCTCACCCCAAAAACTATTTATTCCCCTCCACAGGGCTCGTGGCGAAGGAAGGACTTGTAGTACTTGTGCACGTGTATGGATGGCCTAAACTTTGTACAATTTTGGATTTGGAATTATTTTATGTATATTTGGGATTAGTTTCCGCTGCATTTGTGACATGTAATTATTGGAGACGGATGTGTATTTGTGGACCAGTTGATGTATATTTGATTTTTATATTGTAATTTAATTGAGGACTGTAGTGAACGACTGAGTCCCGGCGAGAGCTGGGCAGGCGGCCCGCCGAACCCTCTGGTTCGCCTTAGGGGGAGGTGGGGCTGTCACAATTTAACTCCCTTAAGGTTTTCAAAATCTCATTTAGCACCCCTCGAATTGACATTTTGGTAACAATTATTAGGCTTTCTAACCAAAAGTAATATTAGAAAATTCATGTTAGAGGAGAGAGACTATTTTAGTGCCCTTAATACCCTTAGGCTATAAAAAAAATGAAGGCTCCATTTGCATTAGCTATTTTCATGGGTGTTTTTAAAATATTTTATTGTAACAATATATATGAAAAACTTTTATTCTAGATGTTTTTTATGGTGTTATTGGGATATTCTTAAAGTATAAAAATTTTTACAGAATAAAACCAAGAAAAAAAGTACTAAATTGGAACAATTTTAAAAGTGATGGGATGAAAGTTGATAAAGATTTATACTGTAGCCAATAGTCATTTGTATAGTAGAAAGACAGTAAAAGCAAATACTATTCTTTAAACCATTTTTACAAATAAAACCCTTCATAGTGTTGAAGGCAAATAGCACATAAAACTTATACATTTGAGTAAAAGGCTCAATAATATATGAAATTCAACTTCAATATTACATAGAGAATTTTCAAAATAGACCGACATTTTCATGGGCGTGAAAGATGAAAATTTTATTATAAAAAGAAAAAGTTAGAATTTGAAAAACCATAGTGTATGGAGTTCCAGTTACTTCATTTCTCTTGTGCTCTACATGATAGGAACAAATAAATAAATAGATAAATATAGTTGTGAATTACAAAAACGGGAAAAAAAAACCTACAGCTCTTCTTCTCCAAATGCGCTAAATATTTCATTGATTAAATCCTATATTTTGTTGACATTTGCAATTCAAATATATATATATATATGTGTGTGTGTGTGTATGTATGTATGTATGTGTGCATGTATATATATATGTGTGTGTGTGTATATATATATATGACAAGTTTAAAAAAATTTAAATATTAGGGTATTATTGACAATTCTTCACCTTTGATATTGGCATATGGTCCCACTATCACTTCAAGGGGGTTAAATGAGATTTTGAAAACTTAAAGGGAGCTAGGTGATATTTCATGAAGCCTCAAGAAAGGTTTCTGAAATTATCCCATAATTCTATCATTCGACACTAGTAGAATTATCGGTTGCTGAGTTTGGATGTGCGAAGGTCAATTTTGAGGTAATTTGAGATAGGATAGGGGAGGTTGACAATCTCATATTTCATATTGACATTTTTGTTTTTAATTTTTAAGTCATGTACAAAGACTTTAATACCTTTATATACCATTACGAACTCATATTTAAGACAAAATAGAACACTTGTAGCTGCTATTAAAAAAAAGTTGCTTTGTCTGAATAGGATTTGAATAAAACACTTGAGGCGAATGCCAATATATAATTAAAATTTCTTTAAAGTATTCATCAATCTCAAAATAAAAATATATTTTTAAAATTCCAAACTTGTATGAATTATAGGCATTTTATCAC